ATGAGCCAATTTCCCATAAACTGTTTGGTGTTTGTGGAAACTGCTGTTACAATATTTGAGTTTGTTTTCCACTCAATCACAGTCCATTATTGTATTTTAATGAACTTCAGATTTATAGCCTCCTGTAGCGAATCGATGCGTTTTTGTAAGAAAAATATTAATATTCAAAACGTAATAATCACTTTAGCATTTTTTCCCCACAGTACCTTAGTATAGTATGCACACTTCATGAGAAAACAATGTTAAAATGTAGTTTCTTTGTTATTGGCATTCTATCAACCACAAATAATATTACCATATAGTCTAGGCATAATAAAAGTACAATTACTATACTGTGCACTTACTCAGTATGATTTCCAGCGAACTCAAAATTGAACGACATGTGTGCCTTTCTTGTGAAATTATACCAGTGATGCAGCCACAGTCCTAAACGAAAATTTAAATAGTTGTTAGCAATTACCAGAAGATGCATAGCTGATAAATAAATTGCATCACTGATAAGAAAGGACGCGCGTATATGTCTGTCAATGGATCCCTTATTTACAGCTTACTTGATACATTTACACATCAGACGATCGCGAACGCCAATGACTGAGTATAAAACATTCAACATATTAACATTATAACTCACATTACTTTTATATCGTTGCTGTCTATTTTATAGAACATACAAAAAACTTCCTGGCGTTGTGAGACATATATGCAGTGAATGAATCTTTATAATGTTTCACTTGATTGTACATTTTGTTAGGAATCATGGTTTGGAAAAAGTAACTAGTAAAATATGTACAAGTTATGTCACAGTAACACAATAGCAACTAATGCAAGTAGGCAAATAAAAAAAGACTTACTATATCCTCCACTGAATATCACGCCGGCGCGTTCTTCTGAGGAAAATCCAAAGCGTATTTCTCTCAGCGCGTCTTCTTCCAGAAGCGAAGTAGCCAAGATGAACTTGAGAGAAATTCTTGCTGCTGTGTTTGCTGTGATGTGGGCGTTTACTATGAAGGTATTTTTGGTGCAAAACAACAGAATGTCCGTTACAGCAGCAGTGGTAGTTGTAGAGAATAGCCACACATGTGTATCAGTAAATCTGAAGTCACAGACAAAAGTTGCAAACTTGTAGATTTTTTTCTCTCTCCCACAAACACAACACAACAGTTACACGTTCTTGAATCCTTCACTGCAGGTGCACAAATCATATTCTACGAATCACAAATCAAGAAACTCGTACGCTCACAAGTTTTGCTACTATTGCTGCAGTGATGTTTGCTGTGATGTGGGCGTTTACATGCGCGTGTTTCACGTGGATGATTGTAATAACAAAAGCGCGATCGGCGCGTGGGCGCGGTCACATTAGCGATAATGAAGGCGACGGCCAAGACTTGACATCGCGTTGGTTTCATACTGATTACTTTGTCACATCATATTTGTTTTCGTCATGACTTACTTCGTTTAAAAGTAGACATATTAAGCTTTCTATAGATATGTCTCTCATGTGTATGTGTCAAATATTCGCTGAGTTTCAGTTCATTTTAGTGACGCGTTTCAAACAGATATGCGCGGAGAATGAGACGGCTAAAAGCACACCCTGTTTATTTTCTTTATTTTGCAAAAGCACAATGTTTTGTTGATATTGTGAGTGTACACAAATAAAAATAGACCCTTTACAGATTCGAATGGTGTATTGTTTTATGTGCAGATTTATAGCACATAAAAACAAAAACTGTGGTTGTTGATCGCTTTGCATGTTGCTCAGATGGTATCTTATTCCTAATAATTTGCACTAATTTGTAATAATCAAACGTCTGGCTACACAAGGTACTACCAGACAGACACCTTTAAAGTTTTTGGTGATAGCTTTAGTGGAACTGTCAACACACTAAAGCACAGCATGCTACAAAATTAGCTTTCTGAGAAATATCCCTCCTTAAAGGTGACATCTTATGCCCCTTTTTACAATATGTAATATAAGTCTCTGGTGTCCCCAGAATGTGTCTGTGAATTTTCAGCTCAAAATACTCCACAGATCATTTATTATATAATTTTGAAAATGCCTATTGGAGTGGAAGCAGAAACAAGCAGTTTTTTGGGCCTGTGTCTTTAAATGCAAATGAGCTGCTGCTCCCTGCCCCCTTTTCCAGAATAGAGCTGCACCTTTACAGCTGCTAAAAAACATCTGTTTTGGTTCTGATTATCATGTCGCGCTGAAATCATGCGTTTTAAACCATACGAGTTTAAACTTCACATATACGGTTTTCTGAGTGCACACATCCGAAGCACACGGACAGAAAGCTGCTGT